GTATATTTAAAAATTTAAGACAAATGTTCTAAAATTAATAATTCATTGCATTTAAATATTAAGTCACGAGGTTGTAATTCTCTTAATATTTTTACTTTTAAAGATTTTGTACAAATTTTAAATTGATTGAAAAAAGATGTATTATAATTATTATAATATATATTTTTATAAAAGTCTAATAAATTAGATTTAATTAGTTTAGTAATATTAGTATTACTAGTATTAATATGAATGATATCATTTACTTTTAAATTAAAACTAGGTGTTTTGATTAAATATTTATTTACAAAAATATTTTCATGAACAATTAATTGTCTAGCTTGTCTTATTGTTGTACAAAAACCTACTTTATATAAATAAGAATCTAAACGCATTTCTAATAATTTAAGTAAATTAAAGCCTGCTAATCCTTTCAGTTTTTTAGATAATAAAACATATTGTTTTAATTTTTTTTGAGTTATACCATAATTAAATTTAAGTTTTTGTGTTTCTTCTAATCTAATGGCATAATCACTTTTTTTACTTATCTTTTTTTTATTACTATGTTCTCCTACACTAAAGTTATTTTTGTTTAATACAAATTTTTTTGAAAAGCCAGGTAAAAAAGGTATTCCTAGTCTTCTTAATATACGAATTTTAGGCCCTAAATATCTTACCATATAATAAATAAATTTTAATATAAATCTATGCTGATGAAGGGACTTGAACCCCCAACCAACTGATTACAAGTCAGTTGCTCTTCCTATTAAGCTACATCAACAAAATAATTTTAAGGTTTAAATCCTCGAAAAAGTAGTAAATTTTAGCTAAATACAATTTCCTATTTACCAATTAATCTTACTGTTTTCTTACTCTTTTATAAAGACGAGAACATTTATCTTAAGTATAAATTCCCACTTAGATGCTTTCAGCGGTTTTTTAATCTATACTTAGCTACCCAGCGTTTACTCTTGGCAGAATAACTGGTACACCATAGGTATAGTTTCTTCGATCCTCTCGTACTAGAAGAAATACTTTCAATGTTCTTACGCCTACACCGGATACGGACCGAACTGTCTCACGACGTTCTGAACCCAGCTCACGTGCCGCTTTAATGGGCGAACAGACCAACCCTTAGGACGTGCTACCGCCCTAGGATGCGACGAGCCGACATCGAGGTGCCAAACCTCCCCTTCAATAAGAACTATCGGGGGAGATCAGCCTGTTATCCCTAGAGTAACTTTTATCAGTTTAGCGACGGCCCTACCACTTAGAACCGCCGGATCACTAAGACCGACTTTCGTCTCTGCTTGACTTTTTAGTCTTACAGTTAAGCCTTTATATGCCTTTATGCTCAACAATCGGTAATTACCGATCTGAAAAGACCTTTGTACACCTCCGTTACCTTTTAGGAGGTCACCGCCCCAGTCAAACTACCTATCAAAAACTGTTCGAAAACTAGTTAATAGAATTTCCGTTAGAATTTTAAAAGTAATAGAGTGGTATCTCATTGTTGACTCCATTAGTTCCGAAAATCTAACTTCATAGTCTCCCACCTATTCTGCGCAATTAAATTCAAAACTCAATTTCAGATTATAGTAAAGCTTCATAGGGTCTTTCTGTCCAGGTGTAGGATGTCCGCATCTTCACAGACATTTCTATTTCGCCGAATCTCTTTCTAAGACAGTGTCCAAGTCGTTACGCCTTTCGTGCGGGTCGGAACTTACCCGACAAGGAATTTCGCTACCTTAGGACCGTTATAGTTACAGCCGCCGTTTACCAGGGCTTATAAAAAAAGCTTCATCATTACTAATGAACAATTTTTTTTTACCTTATGGCACTGGGCAGGCGTCAGCCCCCTTACATCGTTGTTAAACTTAGCGGAGACCTGTGTTTTTGATAAACAGTCGCTCGGACCTCTTTATTATAGCCTTTTGTTTAAAAGGCATCCTTTCTCCCGAAGTTACAGGATCATTTTGCCGAGTTCCTTAGAAAGAGTTAATTCGTCCCCTTAGTATATTTATACCTATCCACTTGTGTCAGTTTATAGTACGGGCATAAAATTTTTAAGCATAGAAAGTTTTTCTTGAAAATTTTAAAATTTTTAACTAAACCTACCAATCTATAGTTAATATAATAAAATCTTGTCACTTCTTGCAAAAATTTTATGGTATAGGAATATTAACCTATTTCCCATCAACTACACTATTTGTCTCATTTTAGGCCCCGACTAACCCTACACGGATAAACCTTATTGTAGGAAACCTTAGATTTTCGGGGTATCAGATTTTTACTGATATTTTCGCTACTTAAGCCGATATTCTCACTTCTACTTCGTTCACTTTCATTTTCATTTAAGTTTTAAACTAAGGTAGAACGCTCCCCTACCGAGTTAATATTATTACTTATTAACTCCCATAGCTTCGGTAGATTGTTTATTCCCTTACATTTTCGGCGCAAAATCACTATACCAATGAGCTTTTACGCACTCTTTAAAGGATTGCTGCTTCTAAGCCAACCTTTTGGCTGTCTTAATAATTTCACTTCCTTTTTAACTTAACAATCATTTAAGGACCTTATCTTATGGTCTGGGTTGTTTCCCTTTAGACTTTAGAGATTATCCCCTAAAGTCTCACTAATAGATTTTTTATAAATGGTATTCAGAGTTTATTTAGATTAAGTACTAATTTAAATTAGCCTTTATCAAAATAGTGCTTTACCCCCATTTTTATATCTTATTGCTGCGCCTACACGCATTTCGGGGAGAACCAGCTATCTCCGGATTCGTTTGGCATTTCACCACTAACCACATATCATCTGATAATTTTGCAGCATTAACCAGTTCGGGCTTTCACAAAGATTAATCTTAGCTTAACCCTGTACATGGTTAGATCATCCGGTTTCGGGTTCATAATAAAAAACAAATCGCTTTTAAGCTCGCTTTCACTATGGCTCCAGTTAATTCTTTAACCTATGCTTTTTATTATGACTCATCGGCCCATTCTTCAACAGGTACACAGTTAGGTTATTCAAACCCTTCTATTGAATGTAAGCATAAGGATTCACGTTCTTTTCACTCCCCTTCCGGGGTTCTTTTCACCTTTCCCTCACGGTACTAGTTCACTATCGGTCACTCACGAGTATTTAGTTTTACGAGGAGGTCCTCGGTATATTCAAACAGAACTTCACGTATTCTATTTTACTTATTTAAAACTTTTTTCGTTTCGCTCGCCACTACTAAGAAAATCGTTGTTACTTTATTTTCCTCTGAGTACTAAAATGGTTTAGTTCCTCAGGTTCGCTTTACTTAAATTAATTTAACTTAATTTAAATAATCAAGAGGTTACCCTATTCGGAAATCTTTGGGTCTATGCTTCTAGTCAGCTAACCAAAGCATTTCGTTGACTAGCACGTCCTTCTTCGCCTGTGAGTACCAAGGTATCCTCCTTATGCCTTTAAATTTTTAAACCTATTATACAGTTATATATATTTTTGGCGGGAAACGGATTTGAACCGCTGTCCTTCGGGTCATGAGCCCGATGAGCTTCCTATTTACTGCTCCATCTCGCCATTTAAAATTTTATTATAAAAAAACTATTATAATAAACTCGGAGGGATTTGAACCCACGACACTATGGTCCGTAACCATAAGCTCTATTCCACTGAGCTACGAGCTTTACTTTATTATTATTAATAATAATAATAAGGTAATTAGCTCAATGGTAGAGCATCTGCCTTACAAGCAGAAAGTAATTGGTTCAATTCCAATATTACCTATTTTATAGACTTATCGTCTAAAGGACTAGGACAGAAACCTTCTAAGTTTCTAATGTAGGTTCGATTCCTACTAAGTCTGATATTATATACGCGGGCGTGGCGAAAAGGTAGACGCGCTAGATTTAGGCTCTAGTGATATTTAATCATGAGAGTTCGAATCTCTCCGTCCGTAAATTTAGTTTAATCTCCTTAGGTTGGAGTTGAACCAACGACACTTCGGTTAACAGCCGAAAGCTCTACCCACTGAGCTACTAAGGATAAATATATAATATTTATATATTAAGTAAGGGAAGGGGGGTATAGCTCAGTTGGTAGAGCATAACCTTTGCAAGGTTGAAGTCAGCGGTTCAATTCCGCTTACCTCCATTTTTTTAGACGTAATTTAAAAAATTTAAGGAATTTATTATACGAGTTTGATCCTAGCTCAGGATGAACGCTAGAGACGCACATAACACATGCAAGTTAATGGTATATATATTTATATATATATCATAGCGAACTGGTGAGTAATAAATGAGAATTAAAATATAGGTCAGGAATAAATTTTTTTATAATTCCTGTTAAGCGCATAGTGCTAAAAAAGGTTTTAGTACCGCCTATAACCAAGCTCATATCTGATTAGCTAGTTGGTAAGGTAAAGGCTTACCAAGGCGATGATCAGTAGCTGGCCTGAGAGGGTGGTCAGCCACATTGGGATTGAGATACAGCCCAAACTCTTCTAAGAGGCAGCAGTGGGGAATATTCTGCAATGAGCGCAAGCTTGACAGAGTGACGTCTCGTGAAGGAAGACAGCCTTTTGGTTGTAAACTTCTTTTGCTTTTAAAAGAATAATGACAAAAAGTTAAAAAGTATCGGCTAACTCCGTGCCAGCAGCCGCGGTAAAACGGGGGATACAAGCGTTATCCGGAATTACTGGGCGTAAAGCGTCTGTAGGTTGTTTAGTGTGTCTTTAGTAAAATTATAAAATTAAAGTTTATAAAGTCTATAGAAACTATTAAACTAGAGTTTGGTAGAGGTAAGAGGAATTTTTCGAGGAGTGGTGAAATGCGAAGATACGAAAGAGAACACCAAAGGCGAAAGCATCTTACTGGGCCATTGTACTGACACTGAGAGACGAAAGTTAGGGTAGCGAATGGGATTAGATACCCCAGTAGTCCTAACCGTAAACGATGGGTACTCGGTATTGGAAAAATATTAAATTTTTTCAGTACCCTAGCTAACGCGTTAAGTACCCCGCCTGAGTAGTATTCTCGCAAGAGTGAAACTCAAAGGAATTGACGGGGGCTTGCACAAGCGGTGGAGCATGTGGTTTAATTCGATGCAACACGAAAAACCTTACCAGAGCTTGACTTTATATTATAAGTGATTATCTTAATAGATAATTATAACATATAAACAGGTGGTGCATGGCTGTCGTCAGCTCGTGTCGTGAGATGTTGGGTTAAGTCCCGCAACGAGCGCAACCCTTGTTTAAAGTTACTTTTACTTTAAAAACTGCTTATTTTAATCCAAGATAAAATTCTTGAAAAATAGGAGGAAGGTGAGGACGACGTCAAGTCATCATGCCCCTTATGCTCTGGGCTACACACGTGCTACAATGGAAGGTACAAAAGGAATAAATTTATTATTTATATCTTTTTCGTAAGAAATAGATCAACCTCAACACCTTCCCTAATTCGGAACATAAACTGAAACTCGTTTATGTGAAGTAGGAATCGCTAGTAATCGCTGGTCAGCCATACAGCGGTGAATATGTTATCGAGCCCTGTACACACCGCCCGTCGCGCCACGGAAATTAGTTTTTTTCGAAAACATTGCTAAATGGTTAAATAAAAATTGATAACTGGGGCGAAGTCGTAACAAGGTAGCCGTACTGGAAGGTGCGGCTGGATATAATACTTATAAAGGTAGTAAGTAATTAAAAAAACAAATTTTTTATAATTTAATTGTCGGCAGCTATTAGTAAATTGGACCCACTCCAAACCTTTCCGAATTTGGTTGTGAAAAAATTTAACGGCAAAAATACTATTAATAAACATTAATGGAAGAATAGCTAGGCGCCGGCAAAAAAAAATAGATAAGGGGGCTGTTAGCTCAGCGGTAGAGCACACCCCTGATAAGGGTGAGGCCCCAGGTTCAACTCCAGGACGGCCCAAATAAAAAAATAAGGGTACTAATAATAAAATTTTATTATTAGTACCCTTATTTTTTTATTTGGGCCGTCCTGGAGTTGAACCTGGGGCCTCACCCTTATCAGGGGTGTGCTCTACCGCTGAGCTAACAGCCCCCTTATCTATTTTTTTTTGCCGGCGCCTAGCTATTCTTCCATTAATGTTTATTAATAGTATTTTTGCCGTTAAATTTTTTCACAACCAAATTCGGAAAGGTTTGGAGTGGGTCCAATTTACTAATAGCTGCCGACAATTAAATTATAAAAAATTTGTTTTTTTAATTACTTACTACCTTTATAAGTATTATATCCAGCCGCACCTTCCAGTACGGCTACCTTGTTACGACTTCGCCCCAGTTATCAATTTTTATTTAACCATTTAGCAATGTTTTCGAAAAAAACTAATTTCCGTGGCGCGACGGGCGGTGTGTACAGGGCTCGATAACATATTCACCGCTGTATGGCTGACCAGCGATTACTAGCGATTCCTACTTCACATAAACGAGTTTCAGTTTATGTTCCGAATTAGGGAAGGTGTTGAGGTTGATCTATTTCTTACGAAAAAGATATAAATAATAAATTTATTCCTTTTGTACCTTCCATTGTAGCACGTGTGTAGCCCAGAGCATAAGGGGCATGATGACTTGACGTCGTCCTCACCTTCCTCCTATTTTTCAAGAATTTTATCTTGGATTAAAATAAGCAGTTTTTAAAGTAAAAGTAACTTTAAACAAGGGTTGCGCTCGTTGCGGGACTTAACCCAACATCTCACGACACGAGCTGACGACAGCCATGCACCACCTGTTTATATGTTATAATTATCTATTAAGATAATCACTTATAATATAAAGTCAAGCTCTGGTAAGGTTTTTCGTGTTGCATCGAATTAAACCACATGCTCCACCGCTTGTGCAAGCCCCCGTCAATTCCTTTGAGTTTCACTCTTGCGAGAATACTACTCAGGCGGGGTACTTAACGCGTTAGCTAGGGTACTGAAAAAATTTAATATTTTTCCAATACCGAGTACCCATCGTTTACGGTTAGGACTACTGGGGTATCTAATCCCATTCGCTACCCTAACTTTCGTCTCTCAGTGTCAGTACAATGGCCCAGTAAGATGCTTTCGCCTTTGGTGTTCTCTTTCGTATCTTCGCATTTCACCACTCCTCGAAAAATTCCTCTTACCTCTACCAAACTCTAGTTTAATAGTTTCTATAGACTTTATAAACTTTAATTTTATAATTTTACTAAAGACACACTAAACAACCTACAGACGCTTTACGCCCAGTAATTCCGGATAACGCTTGTATCCCCCGTTTTACCGCGGCTGCTGGCACGGAGTTAGCCGATACTTTTTAACTTTTTGTCATTATTCTTTTAAAAGCAAAAGAAGTTTACAACCAAAAGGCTGTCTTCCTTCACGAGACGTCACTCTGTCAAGCTTGCGCTCATTGCAGAATATTCCCCACTGCTGCCTCTTAGAAGAGTTTGGGCTGTATCTCAATCCCAATGTGGCTGACCACCCTCTCAGGCCAGCTACTGATCATCGCCTTGGTAAGCCTTTACCTTACCAACTAGCTAATCAGATATGAGCTTGGTTATAGGCGGTACTAAAACCTTTTTTAGCACTATGCGCTTAACAGGAATTATAAAAAAATTTATTCCTGACCTATATTTTAATTCTCATTTATTACTCACCAGTTCGCTATGATATATATATAAATATATATACCATTAACTTGCATGTGTTATGTGCGTCTCTAGCGTTCATCCTGAGCTAGGATCAAACTCGTATAATAAATTCCTTAAATTTTTTAAATTACGTCTAAAAAAATGGAGGTAAGCGGAATTGAACCGCTGACTTCAACCTTGCAAAGGTTATGCTCTACCAACTGAGCTATACCCCCCTTCCCTTACTTAATATATAAATATTATATATTTATCCTTAGTAGCTCAGTGGGTAGAGCTTTCGGCTGTTAACCGAAGTGTCGTTGGTTCAACTCCAACCTAAGGAGATTAAACTAAATTTACGGACGGAGAGATTCGAACTCTCATGATTAAATATCACTAGAGCCTAAATCTAGCGCGTCTACCTTTTCGCCACGCCCGCGTATATAATATCAGACTTAGTAGGAATCGAACCTACATTAGAAACTTAGAAGGTTTCTGTCCTAGTCCTTTAGACGATAAGTCTATAAAATAGGTAATATTGGAATTGAACCAATTACTTTCTGCTTGTAAGGCAGATGCTCTACCATTGAGCTAATTACCTTATTATTATTATTAATAATAATAAAGTAAAGCTCGTAGCTCAGTGGAATAGAGCTTATGGTTACGGACCATAGTGTCGTGGGTTCAAATCCCTCCGAGTTTATTATAATAGTTTTTTTATAATAAAATTTTAAATGGCGAGATGGAGCAGTAAATAGGAAGCTCATCGGGCTCATGACCCGAAGGACAGCGGTTCAAATCCGTTTCCCGCCAAAAATATATATAACTGTATAATAGGTTTAAAAATTTAAAGGCATAAGGAGGATACCTTGGTACTCACAGGCGAAGAAGGACGTGCTAGTCAACGAAATGCTTTGGTTAGCTGACTAGAAGCATAGACCCAAAGATTTCCGAATAGGGTAACCTCTTGATTATTTAAATTAAGTTAAATTAATTTAAGTAAAGCGAACCTGAGGAACTAAACCATTTTAGTACTCAGAGGAAAATAAAGTAACAACGATTTTCTTAGTAGTGGCGAGCGAAACGAAAAAAGTTTTAAATAAGTAAAATAGAATACGTGAAGTTCTGTTTGAATATACCGAGGACCTCCTCGTAAAACTAAATACTCGTGAGTGACCGATAGTGAACTAGTACCGTGAGGGAAAGGTGAAAAGAACCCCGGAAGGGGAGTGAAAAGAACGTGAATCCTTATGCTTACATTCAATAGAAGGGTTTGAATAACCTAACTGTGTACCTGTTGAAGAATGGGCCGATGAGTCATAATAAAAAGCATAGGTTAAAGAATTAACTGGAGCCATAGTGAAAGCGAGCTTAAAAGCGATTTGTTTTTTATTATGAACCCGAAACCGGATGATCTAACCATGTACAGGGTTAAGCTAAGATTAATCTTTGTGAAAGCCCGAACTGGTTAATGCTGCAAAATTATCAGATGATATGTGGTTAGTGGTGAAATGCCAAACGAATCCGGAGATAGCTGGTTCTCCCCGAAATGCGTGTAGGCGCAGCAATAAGATATAAAAATGGGGGTAAAGCACTATTTTGATAAAGGCTAATTTAAATTAGTACTTAATCTAAATAAACTCTGAATACCATTTATAAAAAATCTATTAGTGAGACTTTAGGGGATAATCTCTAAAGTCTAAAGGGAAACAACCCAGACCATAAGATAAGGTCCTTAAATGATTGTTAAGTTAAAAAGGAAGTGAAATTATTAAGACAGCCAAAAGGTTGGCTTAGAAGCAGCAATCCTTTAAAGAGTGCGTAAAAGCTCATTGGTATAGTGATTTTGCGCCGAAAATGTAAGGGAATAAACAATCTACCGAAGCTATGGGAGTTAATAAGTAATAATATTAACTCGGTAGGGGAGCGTTCTACCTTAGTTTAAAACTTAAATGAAAATGAAAGTGAACGAAGTAGAAGTGAGAATATCGGCTTAAGTAGCGAAAATATCAGTAAAAATCTGATACCCCGAAAATCTAAGGTTTCCTACAATAAGGTTTATCCGTGTAGGGTTAGTCGGGGCCTAAAATGAGACAAATAGTGTAGTTGATGGGAAATAGGTTAATATTCCTATACCATAAAATTTTTGCAAGAAGTGACAAGATTTTATTATATTAACTATAGATTGGTAGGTTTAGTTAAAAATTTTAAAATTTTCAAGAAAAACTTTCTATGCTTAAAAATTTTATGCCCGTACTATAAACTGACACAAGTGGATAGGTATAAATATACTAAGGGGACGAATTAACTCTTTCTAAGGAACTCGGCAAAATGATCCTGTAACTTCGGGAGAAAGGATGCCTTTTAAACAAAAGGCTATAATAAAGAGGTCCGAGCGACTGTTTATCAAAAACACAGGTCTCCGCTAAGTTTAACAACGATGTAAGGGGGCTGACGCCTGCCCAGTGCCATAAGGTAAAAAAAAATTGTTCATTAGTAATGATGAAGCTTTTTTTATAAGCCCTGGTAAACGGCGGCTGTAACTATAACGGTCCTAAGGTAGCGAAATTCCTTGTCGGGTAAGTTCCGACCCGCACGAAAGGCGTAACGACTTGGACACTGTCTTAGAAAGAGATTCGGCGAAATAGAAATGTCTGTGAAGATGCGGACATCCTACACCTGGACAGAAAGACCCTATGAAGCTTTACTATAATCTGAAATTGAGTTTTGAATTTAATTGCGCAGAATAGGTGGGAGACTATGAAGTTAGATTTTCGGAACTAATGGAGTCAACAATGAGATACCACTCTATTACTTTTAAAATTCTAACGGAAATTCTATTAACTAGTTTTCGAACAGTTTTTGATAGGTAGTTTGACTGGGGCGGTGACCTCCTAAAAGGTAACGGAGGTGTACAAAGGTCTTTTCAGATCGGTAATTACCGATTGTTGAGCATAAAGGCATATAAAGGCTTAACTGTAAGACTAAAAAGTCAAGCAGAGACGAAAGTCGGTCTTAGTGATCCGGCGGTTCTAAGTGGTAGGGCCGTCGCTAAACTGATAAAAGTTACTCTAGGGATAACAGGCTGATCTCCCCCGATAGTTCTTATTGAAGGGGAGGTTTGGCACCTCGATGTCGGCTCGTCGCATCCTAGGGCGGTAGCACGTCCTAAGGGTTGGTCTGTTCGCCCATTAAAGCGGCACGTGAGCTGGGTTCAGAACGTCGTGAGACAGTTCGGTCCGTATCCGGTGTAGGCGTAAGAACATTGAAAGTATTTCTTCTAGTACGAGAGGATCGAAGAAACTATACCTATG